GGAGTGGCGTCTTCTGAGATCCGCACCTTGATGACCAAATGCAGCTGCTACAGATGTGCTGCACGGAGCCCCCCACCCTCAAGCGCAGCTGGTGACGGGGTCCGTGGAAGGAAGGGTCGCTCTTCCTGTATACTGCAAAAGTCGTATCACAAGCACGTGTCACCCACAGCACGAGTTGTGGAGTGACACACAGGAGCTAGTTGCAAAGTTTTGGTCCCTGTAGTTTGATGAGTGAAAGTTCATGTGTTAAAAGTTGTCGGTGCTCCTTAGTTTAGATGTCAGTAGGTTGTCACAGGTGTCCAGGAAGAAAGCAGAGGGCCATGCTGGAGCACGTGCTGCGTAAGTGCTGCCCATAGCAAAGGCAGCTTCAGACTGGTGGTGTTTCACCCCGTGGGCAGTCAGCATGCAGGCTGAGGGACCCCGCCACACAAGCGCAGCGGCGGGGTGCATGCTGTAACTTCTGTCTCTGGCCAGTGTTGCCTACAGAGTAGACAAGTTCTCAGAGAAAGAGAGGTGCTGATGGGGAGCGAAGAACAGGAAGAGAAAAGCACTGCAAATTCCAGCAAGAAGCAATAATTAACAATTTGGTTCAAGTATATGGAATTTTAGAAAGCCTGGTAATCCAACACTTTGTAGCAAATACATGACACATAAAGCACCCCAGTTCGAGGAAGGTTTGGCAGAATGTGTGCTCTGTGGGGTGTGCTGAGGCCTGGTCCCCCTTTGCTGTCTGCCGTGACTCCAGCTGCCTGCCGCTTCGTGCAGTCAGTGGTGGTAATGCAGCTGATGGCCAGACTCTGACTGAGGCCCTGAGCAGCATGTCACTATGGTGAATGTTAAGAACTTCTTTTTTCTAAACAGATGGTGAAACACTGAGGTCCAGCAGGCTGTTTAGGAGCACACGGTGTGAGCCGTGCACAGCCCAAGTTTTCACCCTTTGTCAGGTTAAGGTCCCCTTCGTGTCACATGTGTTTCAGCTTTTGCTGCACTCAGCCCTTCTTCATGGTTGTGGGATTAGTTCCGTGTGGGCCCCTTTTCATGCCCTGTGTTCCGTTATGTGCAGGGGTCCCGGTCACTGTGACTGTCTTGGGGCTTTGCCTGGAGTACTGTTAGGATTTCAGTCTAGATAGTGTTTCTTTTTTTTTTTTTTTTTTTAATTAAACATTTATTTATTTATTGTGTGTGAGTGTCTGTGTGTGTGGCCAGCTCAGCCCACCAGGGGGCGGGGCTGGCTGGCATGTGGTGCTGGGGGATCGAACAGCGGTCCCGGTGCTTTCCCAAGCCTGTTCCAAGTAGGTGCATTAGACCACTGAGCCATCTCGCCAGCCCCTAGATAGTGTTTCAAAGCTTCATGTGAATATAGGAGGGCCTTTGTGGGTGACTGAATTATAGGTGTGATTCTGGTGAGGGTGGTGGGGGAAGAGGTGCTCACTGTGGGCTCAGGTTGCGTACGTGTGTCACTCCTCCTGCCCTGGTGGCTCCCTGCTTCCCCGTGCCATGCCGTGAGCAAGCTTCCTGTGTGCTGGGCCGCTCTGCCCTGACACCCTGCTTGGAAGTCAGCCAGTAAGGGCTGAACTCTCTATGAACTGTCAGCCTGGTTCCAGTATTCTGTCTTCCAGTTGTGGGGCTTGGGTACTTACTCTCAATGTCGAGGAAGAAACACTTTTTTTTTTTTTTCCGTTGTAGCATTTTAGAGGGAGTAGTACTTTTGCACCCTGTCTCATGGGCGGCGTTTGCGTTTGAGTTGATGTTCAGGTTGGGCCGAGGTGTAGGGGTGGAGCTGTCCTCGCCCCCTGCAGGCGTCCGCCGTGTGGTCTGTGCGCTGCGTGCTGTGGGTCTGCAGGTGTCACGCTTGCTGCGGCGCTGCTGGGTTATGTGTGCCTGCTCCGTAAGGTACCCGCCACTTTCCATGTTAGAATGCAGGCAAGGAAGTATAACGGTCTTTCCACATGGCCACTTAGTGCTTATGGATTTTGCAGTTTATTCTCAAAGTAGCTTTTGGTGAGATCTAGCTACCATAACAATATAAACATCATCAGAACCTTCAGAAAAACTTTCAGTGGGGCTTTGGGCAAGGTTAAGCATGCCCTGTGGGAACCCAGTTAGATTCATCCTTGTCCGCCTGGATAGCCCTGTCCTATGTCCTCCGCTGTTGCTTTTTCATTTAACACCTGTTGTTGTCACTTTGCAGCCTTCGTTTAGATTTGACACCTCTGAATATTCCTGAGTTGTATCTAATTGGGTCCCATAATCATTCCATGTGGCTCCTGTGTCTCGCTATGTTTCATATATGACCCTGCCCATGTTGGGGCAAAGCAGTTTCCTCTCAATTCTAGTGTGTACATCGTTGCAATTTTTTAAAATATGATTTTTAATAGATGCAAAAAGAATCCCAGTTGCCTCCAGGAGTGACATCTCCTGTGTCTTCTAGATTGGAATTCAGCTCCTGGTGTGTGTAGTTTGGAATACCCTGAGGTACAAGCCATGGCCGTGACGTGCCTCAGTTCATCTTTCAGTGCTGCGTATGTCTGCCTACCAGTGGTATCTTCCCACAGTTCTACTTCTGTGGGGGTCCAGCCCTAGCAGAGGGGAACAGGGTGGGGGGAAGACGGAATGAAAAGAAAAAGATCTGGGGTCAGGAGGACTGAGTAGCTGGCTCAGTAATTACATTTATTTCAAGTTTATGTACAGAAAGTTTGACCATGTGCCAGCGTTTGTCCTACTTAACTGTAACCCTTCTCTGTTTCTCTGGGACCAGAAAGCTTGCCAGGGCCAAGCTGGTAAACAGCAGACCCATATTCGGGAGCATCTGGAGTGGACTTGAGCCCTTTGCCACAGCGCAGGTCCGGGAAGCTGTGCGCGTGGCCACATGCTACTTCCTTGAAAGGTGGTTCCTTCTGGAACTGTCTCCAGCTCACTTCCTTTGCCTGTTTTCTCAGATAAAGCTGTGGATCTTTTTCCTTTTCTTACTTTCTTAATCTTTGTGAGACAGGGTCTCACTATGAAGTTCAGGCCAGCCTTGAGCTCACTTTGTAGCCCAGACTGGTCTCGAATTCAAAACAGTCCCACTGCTTCAGCCTCCAGAGTGCTGCGATTACAGGCTTGTGAAGCCACACCCGGTTTTAAAAGTTCTCCTTTTCTTTATGTTCATTTTTTATTTGGTGCACAGATTGTTTTTATGGGATATGGTGTGGATAATTTTACCATTTCTTGACTTTTATGTACTGCAGTTTTCTTTTCTTTTTAAAAAATGTTTCCTTTATTTCTTTTTTTTTTTATGGTCAGCTCAGCCCATCCTGGAGGCGCGGCTGGCATGGCATGTGGTGCTGGGGATCGAACCGAGGTCCCTGCACGCTTGCCTAAGCAGGCGCTTTAGACCACTGAGCTATCTCGCCAGCCCCTGTACTGCAGTTTTCATCTGACTGTCTTCTAGTTCTGACAGCTTCATTTTCCTCAGTGGAAAACTCTTTTAAAGTTTCTGAATGTGTTCAGATATCTCTTTCCTATGTCAAGATGTAATTTACTTAGCATCCAAGGCATGTGAGTAATAATACCTGTTTCTCCTTGCGTTGTCTGTTGCACCGTATGTCTTTGTGCTACGTCGTGCCTTAAGAGCTCTATCATGACTCGGTTTGCTGTTATGATTTCTATCCAGATGGGCCCCTGAAACCTTGTTGAGCCGTATGTGGTTTTCAGAGGTGTCAGGATCGGTCGTGTACGGACATGGATGGGTTCCCGATGCGATGCTAGGGCTAAGAGCGTGAAAACCATGCAGGTAGCCTGGATTTAACCTAAGGAACAGAAAGAGAGTTGCTGCTGTCGCGGGCTGCTCGCTGCTTCTCTGGCCTCTTCCTGCCTGCTGGGGGTTGTTCCCCCTCTTCTGTGCTCCCCTGCCGTGCCCCGCTTCCTTGGAGCCAGACAAAATGGGCAGAAGGCTCTACAAAGTGAGCACAATAAACATTTGTTCCTTTAATTTTGCGTGCTGAGAATTTCGTCTGTACAGTGAGACAGCTGTCGCTAAGATGTCTGCGTCCGCGTGAGCTCGCCGAAGACTCCCTTCTCTGGAGCTGCTTGGCATCGCCTCTGCTGATAACACAGTGCCCTCCAGAGGGCATTTGGGAATTCGTGGCCCCGTACGAGCTATCACTTTGGAATGCGTGTGTGCAAGTGAAATATTATTGCTTTGACTTGTTTCCTGTCATTGTTACTGCCTGTTTAAGTTTGCAGAATCCGGGTGATCGCCATAGTGCATGTATAGTTTCATCACATGCACCCCCCATTTGTGTTCTTGTTCCAAATTTCATGTTGCTGCACCATAGCGTATACTATATTAGTTCTGTAGTCCAGTTTCACTATTCTCAGGTAGTCTACAAAACAAGCTATAATTTTTTCCTAGTCTTGCAAGTGATTGCTCATGTGTTTAGGTTAGTGTTGTACTAAGAATTTGTCTATGAAAACAAGCTGAAATTTCAAAATATTGGCTAAGGAGAATCAGAGAAAAAAAAACGATCATTTGCCGGTCTAATAGGATGGGATAAAAGATATTTTCTTTGATACTCATAGAAATTCATCAGACATTTTCTTACCTTAGGTTGTGATTTTCTATACCCTAATGACCCATGCTATGGTGGCTTTGTACAAGTAAACCTGGGTTTAGCCCGCTGGAGAAGCAGAAATCTAATTCTGCTGTTGCTGTAACAATGAATTGTAGGGGCCGGGGAGATGGCTCAGTGGAATAAGTGCTTTCCTGGCAAGCGCAAGGGTCTGAGTTCAATCCCCGGTTCTGCCAAAGAAAACCCAAAGCAATGAATTGTAGTATAACATGAAACTTCCTATATGAGAAGTGTATATGGGTGGAAAATAAGGGCTTCAATGGCGAAGACGTGAAGGAGAAACCTTTGGAAAACTCAGCCTCACATGAGCTTTCGTGAGTAGAACTGAGAATATATTTTGCTGAGAATCTCCCTCTTCTTCCTGGAAATCCATGTCTGACGTCGTAGGAGGCGGTGACCTTCGAGGACGTGGCTGTGAACTTCTCCCGGGAGGAGTGGGCCCTGTTGGATCCTTCCCAGAGGAAGCTCTACCGAGATGTGATGTGGGAGACCCTGAGGCACCTGGCCGCCGTAGGTGAGGAAGATGCCTATTTTTCCCTGATGTACTCAGTATCTGGCCCTGCTCATGAGCAATTTCATTAATGGGAAGATGGAAACATCATGGTGCATGTTCCATCCATGGTTGCGTGTTTACCGTAAATCCAGCTGCAATCTACTGATTTTCCACGCATGTAGTAAGTCATCATTGTATTTCTTCTCCCTTCAGGAAGGAACTCAGGTGAAGAACACTTTGGAGATGAGCATAGCAGGTGCAGGAAAAGTCTGAGGTAATTAACTGCATTCCTGAGAATGACGTTCTGCAAGGGCCACAAAAACTGAAAAGGAAGGCTATCGTGAGATTTTTTCTTCTCTTTTTCCGTGAGATTGTTTTCAATCTCAAGAAATTTCTCCAAGGCATTAGATATGAGGAACATGTTCATTCTGATAGTTGATTGTTTGAAATATTTTAATATCTGAAAAGTAGGTGGCATACAGTGAGATGGTGATCTGCTGTAAACTTTGAGCACCCAGGATTGGTGGTGCTTGGGCATAAAAGGCGTGATGTTAACCCTAGCCTTAAAAGACGCTCAGGCAGGAAGATTGAGCATTTGTACTCAGCTTTGGTAACTTGCTGATTGATGACCCACTGTTTTAAAATAAAAATAAAACCGTTAACTTTATCCCAGTAATAAATCCCTGGGTTCAGTTTTCAGCACTGAAAAGCATGCAGTACGTACGCATAAAATGGCATAGTATCCTTCACAAAACATTTAAGTAACAGCATTTGCCAAAGGATGGATGGCCTTAGAAAGAAGTCAGAAAAATTTCACTGTCAGAACTTGTATTTTGCATGAGATTGGGAAAGCATGAATTATGGGGTAAAAGGAGTAAGTGGGGAAGCAGGAGGCACTTTGGAGTGGGAGAAGAGGCTCAGTGGAAGAGAGGAATGGGGTCATGGAAGAAAAGCTCTCGAAACATCAGTATATGGAGCATGTTTGTTTAAGATGTGTTCCAAATACTCACGATAAAAGTAAGTGTTGTGTGTTGCAAACAGGTGGATGACAGACTGCCAAAAGAAACTCCTGTTCGCGGGAAAGCTCTGTCCCATGAATCATGCATGGTGTACAGTGGGTGGAGGATTACATGTTCCTAGGGGCTTCGAGTCAGATCTCCTCACAGTGAATCACTACTAAAAGATACTATCACGTAATTGGTTGTTTTGTTTCTGTCCATTTTATAGAAGTGAAGATGTAGAGAAATCCTGTAAAGATACATTATGGAGCCAATATGGACAAGGGGCTTCTCAGACTCCAGAGCCACATGTGCACACGAGAGGTGTTGGTGGAACACCCCACGAACGCATTGCTTCTAGAAGCGTCCTGGCAGGTGGCTCGTCAGCGCATGGCCCCGTCATGGCTAACACTGAGCTCAGAGCATATGGGCAGCAAGGATTTGAAGAGAAGCTTCCTCCCTGTAGCCAACATGGGAAATCCTGCACGAGACTCCAATCCTTTCAGGAACATGCAAAGACAAGTCCTCGGCAGAGGCCCCATGACTACATGCCATGTTCAAAAGCCTCCTGTCATTTGACTGAAGAAAGTACCGTGGAAACAAGACCTGATGTCAAATCATGTGCTACTTATAGTAATATTCGAATTGGGGAAACAGGTCACAGGGATGTGAATACGTATATGTGCACACCATGTGGAAATGGTTGTAATTCTCATGATACTCAGATACATGGAAAATCTAGTGCTGGAGAAAGCACACATGAGCGTGAGCACCAAGGAAAATCCTTCAGTAACACTTTGTTGAATAATCCTGAAAGAACTCACATTGTGGAGAAACCCTATGTATGTAAGCAGTGTGGGAAAGCTTTCATCAGATACATTAAATTCAAAGAACATGAGCAAACTCACAGTAGGGAAAATCCCTTCATATGTAAGCAATGTGGAAAATCTTTCAGAACACAAAGTTCTTGTCAAGTGCATGAACGAATCCACACTGGGGAGAAACCCTATGTATGTAATCAGTGTGGAAAATCTTTTAGAACAAAAGCTTATTGTCAATTACATGAAAAGACTCACAGTACAGAGAAAGCCTATATATGTAAGCAGTGTGGCAAAGCTCTCAAGGCCTATGCTTCTTATAAAGCACATGGGAGAAGTCACAGTGGGGAGAAACCCTACGTATGTGTGCACTGTGGGAAAGCTTTTGCCAGAAAAAGGAGTTGCCGAGTACATGAACGGACGCACACTGGGGAGAAACCCTATGTATGTCAGCAGTGTGGGAAAAGATTTACTGGAAAAGATAGAATGCGAGTCCATGAAAGGTCTCACAGTACAGAGAAACCCTATAGATGTAAGCAATGTGGAAAAGCTCTAAAGACATACGATTCTCATAAAGTACACGAAAGGACTCACTCTGGGGAGAAACCGTATGTATGTAAGCAATGTGGCAAAGCTTTTACCAGAAATAAGAGTCTTCAAGTACATGAAAGGACTCACACAGGCGAGAAACCCTATGTATGTCAGCAGTGTGGGAAAGCTTTTAGCAAAAAAGATAATTTGCACATACATGAAAGGAATCATGCTGGAGAGAAACCGTATGTATGTCAGCAGTGTGGAAAATCATTCATCACAAGAGATAGACTGCAAGCACATGGAAGAACTCACTCTGGAGAGAAACCTTATGTCTGTCAGCAATGTGGCAAAGCTTTTGCCAGCAAAGGGAATTGTCAAGTGCATGAAAGAACGCACACCAAGGAGAAACACCATGTATGTCAGCAATGTGGGAAAGCTTTTAGTTCACGGAGATCTTGCCAAAATCATGAACGGAGTCACACTGGGAGGATGCCCATTGTATGCCAGCAATGTGGGAAAGCTTTTAGTTCGCACACAGCTTGCCAAAATCATGTACAGAGTCACACTGGGAGGAAGCCTTATGTCTGTCAGCAATGTGGGAAAGCTTTTACTAGCAAACAGAATTGTCAGATACACGAAAGGAAACACACTGGGGAGAAACCCTATGTATGTTAGCAATGTGGGAAATCGCTTAGCACAAAAAATAGACTGCAAGCACATGAAAGGACTCACTGGAGAGAAATCTTATGTATGTAAGCAATGTGGAAAAGCTTTCAGCACAAGAAATGACTGTCAAAAACATGAAAGGATTCACACTGGGGAGAAACCCTATGTATGTAAGCAATGTGGAAAAGCTTTTACCACGAGTAGTCAATGTTGATTCCATGAAAGGACTCACAGCACAGAGAGACCCTACGTATGTAAGTTATGTGGAAAAGCTTTTGAGACATATGCTTCTTATAAAGCTCATGAGAGAATTCACAGTGGGGAGAAACTATGTATGTAAGCACTGTGGCAAAGCTTTTACCACAAAAGGGAATTGTCAAGTCCATGAAAGGAGACACACTGGGGGGAATCCTTATGTGTGTAAGGAATGTGGGAAAGCATTTAGATCACAGAGAAGTTGCCAAAATCACCTACAGACTCACACTGGGAAGAAGCCCTATATCTCAGCAATGTGGGAAAACTTTCACCAGCAAGAGGAATTGTCAGATACATGAAAGGACACACACCTGGGAGAAACCCTATTTATGTAAGCAATGTGGGGAAATCTTTTAGCACAGAAGATAGAAGGTAGGTACGTAAAAGGACCCACATGGGAGAAAAACCTAAACAATGAGGGAGGGTTTTCAGCCCAAGGTAGGATTGTAAAATACATGAAAGGAATTACATTAGGGAGAAACTGTTTATGCCAGCAGTATGGTAAAACTTTCATCGTGTACAGTTTGTCTGAGTACAGGAATATACTCGCACTGCAGAGAAGGCCTGTATGTAAGCAGTACGGCATAGTTTTGGAACAAAAGGTTATTGTCAAATGCATGAAAGGATTTACACCTTGAAGAGATCCAGGGAATGTAAGCAATGTGGAAAAGCTTTCAGGACGGGTGTTGAGTACGCAAAAGGACTCACACCTGGGATATAGCCTCTGTAAGGAAGCATTGTGGCAATGCTTTCAGTCGTCAAGATCGTTGCAGAATAAATGATTTACTGCCGAGAACCCGTCCCATGTAAGCAGGTAGGGATGCTTTCAGCACACGAGGTGTTTCCACAGCACATGAACACACACGGTGGAAATGCTCTCTGGGAGGAAAGTCATTCTTCTTTCAGTACTCGGAGGTATTGTGAAACATGAAAGAAATCCCCTCTGGAGAAAGACTGAACAATAAACCAAAGACTTCAGTGCAGTATGTACCATGCATGTTCAAAAGAGAGGTTAGAAACAGTATGTACCATGCATGTTCAAAAGAGAGGTTAGAAACAGTATGTGAAGCAACTTAGACTGACATGAATCAGATGGGGTAGAAGGATTTTTTATTTATTTTTTTTGTGTGTGTGTGGTACTGGGGATTGAACTCAGGACCCTGCACTTGCCAGGCAGGCGCTTATTCTACTGAGCTATCTCCCCGGCCCAGCAGTCTTTTTCAATAATGTTTACTACAGGGTCTCCAGGGTCTCACTACACAGCTTGGACCAGCAATGATCCTCCTGATTTCAGCTTCCCAAGTGCTGGGATTACAGGCGTGCGCAACCATGCTGTCTTACTCTTCTCTTGTTGCTGGGACAAATACCAGACACTCAAAGTGAAGGAAGGAAAGGTTTATTTAGCTCACAGTTACTGGAGCTTTCAGTCCATGCTCAGGTGGCTCCAAAGGCACAGCAGCACATGGCAGAGAGCAACCTTCCATGGTGGCAGTAAAGAGCAAGAGCGCCAGAGGAGGAGTAGCGGCAGTTCAAGCAGCTAGCTTGTCTTTCCTGCTTACACTGAAGTGCAGATGACCTGCCCCAGGGCCGGTGCAGCATCCACACCCACAGTAGTCAATCACAAACTCCAGAAGCCATCCCAAGACTGCAGGAGGCTTTGAGGGGGACATACAAATCATAACATGCCCAGTCTCAATCCCATCTCATTGTGCCCCAGGGGCGGGGCCGACAGCATGCCGGGAATTGAACCCCAGTCCCTGCATCCGCCAAAGCAGGTGCTTTAGTCCTCTGAGCTATGTGGCTGGCCCTGAAGTTTTTCTTATAAATAGTACAGGACCTCTTTCAGGCCATATATTAAATAAATGCAAATTCATAATGAAAAGATTCAGCATATGCAGAATATAGAAAGTTTTTTTCCCTCAACATTAAAGAATTTAAGGCAAAGAAATGTACGTAAACCTTTCAGTGCCTCAGATAACCTGGAAAAACATGACGGAACTGCCCCAGGGAAAGTGAAACGCTGTGTTGTGAGTATTGTTCGATGCCAGTGACTACCTAAAACCTGCAGTCTGGAGTGTTAGTATAAATGCAGAGCACGAGCACGCCTCAGCCTTCCGTGAACTTTCCTTAAACATGGGCTTGCACAGGGGAGGCCTTCTTAGGAATGTCCACAACGTGGGGACACCTGTTGTCATCTGGCTCTAGCTCCTTCGGCAAAACCACAGCACTGTGAGGAAAGATTAATGTGACTGGCGCGCACTAGGTGTCGGTCACACTGCCTGTCTGACCAGCTGTTGTATCAGATCTCTGAATGTACCCAACTCTCAGGTATGGCTCCTTTTAAATCCTTTGTTCACTTTCAAATGATTTAAAGCTGTAAAACAACATATTCCTCTAGAAATACACCGACAGCGGGAAGATCCTGAAGTATAGGTACCATGAACTCAGCTGTAAATGTCTCTGCGGAAAGTCACTCTAACTTCTGTCTTAAGAGTGTGTATTGAGCGCACCTAATTCTGCGCCTTCTCCTAAGCAGCAGCGAGGGGATTTAATACCATTTCTTAAAGCGGAGGATAACTGCCTTCATTTTGCACTATGCAGCGTGCTAAAACTACAGGCCAAGTGACTTACCTTGGTGTGTGCCGGGGGCTCGTCGTTTTGTAGGTGGTCTTGGGTTTTTTGCTTCTAGTAATTTTGCTATGAACTGATTATAAAATTGAATTTTCAAAAAAAACAAAAACAAATTGAATTTTCCTTAGCTGTTTTCCTTTTTCCATTGTCTTGTAGTTGAATTTTTGTTGCATGATGTCCACAATGCTAGCAAGAGTTTTAAATGGGTTTGATGGTTTATAATTTCTTTCTTTTTTTTTTTTTTTTTGCAGACCCAGGGATTGAACTCAGGTCCTTGCGCTTGCCAGAGAAGCACTTATTTCACTGAGCCATCTCCCCGACCCCTGTGGTTTATAATCTCTCACTAATTACTTCTGCATGTGTTCATCTGTTTTCAGACAATGTAAATTATCAAATATATTTTTGATATTCCCTGAAGATATCTGTACATACCCCAACTAGATTGAAGATAAGAGGCGGTCATAATTTTCCATGTTTTTTTTTCTGAATCAGCCATTAATAGTGTGTGTTCATTAGCAGGCATTTTGTATCACTAAATTTTGCTTTTTAGGCTCATATTGGCATGATTTGTTTTGAAGTTGTGTAGGCAATTTGCCATTCAAAAAATATGGTATTTTTGTAGTCACTCAGCCCCACCGCAGCAGAGAGCAGACGCTTTCTCCAGAAAGCACAGTGTACTGTAATAACCTCTCCACAAGCTTTGCAGAATGAGGCGATTTATCTGCAAGAACATTCTAGGGGGGCTGAGGAGATGGCTCAGTGGAATAAGAGCTTCTCTGGTGAGCGCAAGGGCCTGAGTTCAATTCCCCGTTCCGCAAAAAAAGAAAAAAAAACCTCAGGAATTTTTGAGTATATTGATGTTTGCTTTGAGGGGATGATTTCTACTTATCATAGAGCAGTCTTTTTCCTCTTTCGATGCTGCTAATTACATTTATGCTGTGGAAATAAATGGTTTTTTTATTCTGGGAGTCTGAACTCAGTTGTTAAAATAGAAATTAAATATTTTTTCTTTTAACTAAAATGATGGTTTTTAATGAGAACCAGAGGTATGGTTACAATTACGTAGACCAACACAACAAAATTCCTTGGTGGTTCGGGGTTTGGAGGGTTCCAAATTATTGGGGTTACCCTTGGTTCCGGGGGGAAAATTGTTCCAGAGTCTGAAAACCAGAGTAGTACGCTCTCTCCCTGCGATCCTGTCTGTGTTCGCCCCCGTCAAAGCTGCCTCTGCGCCCACCACCGCGCCCCCTCGGAAGCCCCCACCATCCCCTGCATGGCTCCAGTAGCTGCCCCAGTTGTAGCCTCCTCTGCCACCACATGGATCATCGCCATAGTTGCCCCCTGTTGGGAGCCTCCTGGAGCCCTCCTGGGCCAGGCGGCGTAGGGGCCTCACACTGGTTGCATTCGTTTCTCCGAGAGCCGTTCGTGTTCTCACACGTACTGTTAGGGCCCTTCCAGTGCCCAGCTCGCTGCTGTCCTCCACTGGGGAATCCTCCCTGGCCGCTGCCAGCACCACCATCGCCTCCGTGGCCTGTGCATCCCTCGGCCTCGTTGCTACCACCCCAATGGAAGTCCGCTCGCCAGGTAAAAAATGAGACCTTAGTAGGGTTTCCAGAGATTTCTTAACTGTCAAACCAGACAATAGCTGATTTAGCAGAAGGCAGGCCATCAAATGAAGCTGTTGCCTCTCCTGTCAACTTGGCAGTCTCCGTCTGTGTATGAATTAATCATGGGTTGTCCGGTTTTCGTATTGGTCTTAATAACGGCCTGCTTGAAGGAATAGCTACAGAGTCAGTTGTAACATTCTCACCCAGGCCTTGCATGAAGGTGATGGTGTTGTCAGAATTATCCTCTTCAGAATCATGATGTAATCTTTGGCCCCGAAGGCCACCAGATTTACTGAAGCCACCTCAGTCACTTCTGCCCATGCCGCCTCTGCCTCCGTGGCCATGTCCACGACCTCTGGGTTCATGGCTACCACTGCTGCGGTTGTAACCACCACCACCACCCCTGCCTCGGCCCCCACGGTCCTGTTGGCCTCCCCCGTAGCCACCGCTGCCACCACTCATGGAGGACCCAGCTTGGCCATGATTGCCTCTGCCACCCCCTCCACCACCGCCACTGCTACTGATGTACTGCTTCTGCTATCCATAGCCCTGAGGAGGACTGTAGGAGCTTTGCTGCTGTCCGTGGCTCTGTTGCTGTCCCCCATAGCCAGGTGCTGCTCATAGCCCCCACTCCGGGGCTGCCCATAGCTGCTACTATGAGAACTACCACCATGAC